AAATTTGGTATGCTGAGGAAGATGCATGAAACTTTTGAAGGTAGAATATACCCACGTTACTGGGAGTCTATAACAGGTGGAGGCATTGGGTTTGGATGTGGTGCACTATTACCATATGCTCATGGGAAGACATTATACTTTAATGGTTGTGGTTTAAGAGAGGCAAGGACAGCTGAAATGGATCTGTCTAGAGCTTTGTAAGTCTCCTGCCTTCATAGTTTGAAAATTTATTTCGATAAGCTAAGCCTGCTGAGGGGAAAGTTTTTTCTCTATAGTATTCAGGAAATGTGTAAGATATTTGATAATTTTGTTTACAACTATAATTCCATTCCTGTTTTTATTGATTTTTATGGCCCCGCAACAAAGTTGTCAGGGCCATATAGTCTTACCCTTGTCCGTCATTCTGTCATTCCGTCATTCCACATCAAACCATTATATGGACTTTTTTTCTAAACGCCTTCAGATATTGGGCTGATTTTTGGTATGTGAGTTAACCATGATGAGTTACAGATCAAATTTAAGTTTCGTTCCTCTCTACTAATTTTTGCCAAAATTACGGGCTTTGGACTTTGATAAATTGTTGAAAATCACAGTTATACAGACTTTTTTTCTAAACGCCTTTAGATATTGGGCTGATTTTTGGTATGTGAGTTAACCATGTTGAGTTACAGATCAAGTTTATGTTTTGTTCCGATATGCTGATTTTCATGTCGATTCAACAGATCTTCAGTACATCCACTTCCTGTTTGAAATTTAACTACTCATTGATCAAGGAAATTTTTCATCAAATTAGTATTGGTCTTGAGAGCTGGATACTATCCATGCATGTTTCTGTCCACATGTGTTGTTGAAATTGCAGATTTTTCTGTTTTTCGAGACAGGGCCATTCGTGTTGTTCCGACACATCTAGTTTTTAAAATACAATAAAAAATCAACATTTATCAGACTGTTAAACTTAAAAATGGTACAGTTATGAGATTGGTTTATTTTACTGGTAGTTCTTTAAGAACAGGATGTATTTAATTCCTTATTTCATATAGTTTTTTTACTGAAATTTAAAGTAATTTAAGATTTACCTTTATTTGTATTATTGAGTTGAAGAAAATCATAAGAAAACAACTTTTAAACATTTTGATGAGAAATACATTGATTTTAATCAATTTTCAAATGGTAGGTGGACCACAAATATACAGTCCATGCAAGTACAAAAGGAAAAAGTCTGGTAAGGGCTAATTTTGGCCTAAAATTTGAAGTACATCTGATGAAAGATTTTTGACATTTTTTAAACACTTAAGTGTCTACTTCAGTCAATTCAATTAGTCTATTTTAAAGATTTGAACTGATTTGGTAATTACAGACACTCGATTAAAGCTTAAATCTATCAAATATGCCATAAAATGTCACTTTTCAGATGCTTTTTGTCCAAAATGTAAGTGGCCACATTCATGTTCAGTCTTAACCTTTATATATGTTATCTATTATCATCAAATACAACATATATTTAGATATTAAGACTGAACATAAGTGCAGCAACTTCCATTTTACACAAAACGTCTATAAATTAGCACAAAATAATGCTAAAACTGTGAAGATTTCAGTAATTTTGCATGCATGAATGATGCTAGTACCTGATGCATGTGCATTGTATTGTCAAAAAACAGCCCTACATTTATATAATAAAAGCATTCTACTTTCCAATAAATAGCTAAAAGTTTACATTCTTAACAAGTTTGTAAAAATGCTATATTTTGGGCCAAAAAGGGGTCCTATTGGGCCTAATCTTTTACCTTTGTGTCTCTGTCTAAATGAACAACTTATTTTATATTCATTTTGGTTCTTGTCGGTGATCGATATTTCCCTCTCAAAAAGATGAATCAGAATTATGCATTTTTTCATATTTTGTAGAGTAGAAAATTATGCCATCTTTTGACTGTTGAATACAGATAATATTTTAATGGTGCATATTTTAAGCCAAAAAGTACACAAAGACCTTCATCCTGGATCAGTAGTTGTGATTTCTCTTTAACATTTTTATTACTTTTCAGGAAAATAATGTTTGTACTACAGATTGGTTGTAAGCAACAAACTGTTTCTTGTAATGTAAATGTAAGAGCTGAGTCCTATCGAGGAATATTATTACAATATTCTACAAACAAGGTTAGTAGTAGTAGTGGTAGAACTTTTATGTCATTTGTGTTTTAAATCAGTAGTTTAAAACCAGCATGCATGTATTAAAAAATTATCTCGCAGAGAAATGAAAATACAATAAACCTTTTTACAATAAATGGGGAAAGTAATAGTAATGGAAGCAGTAATAGAAGAAGACAACGTTTCTTCAAGTTGAAAAAGTCCCATTAGTTGGTGAATAGATTTAATAAATCAGAAATACCATATTTAATATTTTTAAGGGGCTACTATTGTGATAAGTAAATTTCTACAAAGGGGTCACTTAAGGAAATCTTAATGTTCTTCTCTCTGGAATAATTTCCTATGTCCATTCCCAAGTTTTTTAGTGGTACAATTCAATAGTAATAGCAGAATTGACAATAGTTGAATTTTTCAGAATGTTCCAAAATTCCAAACAAACCTTTTGACGCTCATATATATAAAGAATTGTTTGTCAATGTAGGGAATATAATGAACTCTGCATTAATTATATTGGCAAATTTGGATAGGTAGCTTATAATTAATCAAACAAGGTATTATTTTTGATGACTATTTCATGGAAATATAACACACAACATATATTACCATAGTAATTATGAAGCTATGTTTACCAGAAGATGGAAGAATTGTGTAAATGACAATCAAAGTTGGATAAAAATACCTGCCATTATACATTAAGTAATATTTATGTAATACAAATTTTGACAATAACCTTTTCTTGGGAATCAGATGAACAGCTTGCCTGTCATTTTATTAAAACTTTCCATTATCTCCTTCAGGGTGCAGAATGGAAGCTGTTAGCAAGACATGACCCAAGTCATTATCTCAACCCAAAGAGAGCAATGTATGACCTTCCTGCAGATGCCAAAGTTGTAGGGGTCCAGATTAGATGGTGGCAACCAGTACATGATGGTGTAGGCCATGATCAATGGGCTATTGACTCAGTTGAAATTATACCGTAAGTGTCAATCTATTTTTTTAATATGATGCTTTAGATGTGCGACTCAAGAGACATTATACATTTAAGTTGGATATCCTTTTTAATAAACATCTAAAAAAGAATTCCGAACAAAAGTTTTAGGACAGTTCAAAATTTTTAGATCATTTATTAAAGGGCACTCCTCATACATATGTAATTTTTTAGCCACTGGATCAATATGAATCTGGAACAAAATTAGCATGAATAACTCACTGACAGAGTCATATTAAAAAAATTGTTTGATCGGGGTTAAGTTCATGCTTTACCTTCAAGAATGTTATGTGTAATTGCAGATGATGTTTTTGTTAATTCAAAAATTCTTTGAACTGGCATTGATTACATTGTAATAATTGCATGAAAATAGAAATTTGTATAAGGTATTTTGATACTTGCAGACATCAATTTTAAATTACAGTTTCAAATATTTGTTTCCAAGCTGCACTATATTGTTGCAAAAATTCATTTTGAGGCTGTAGAACTAATGATTAACAACATATATACTTTTATTAATTGCTAACAATAGATGTACATTTTGTTTTAAATAGAAAATATTGTAAATTTATATTTACAAAATTTTATTAACGATTTGGCTTCACTATTTCATATATGTTCAGACTGAATCATCTAATAATAATCCTCTTTCATGCCCAAATAAGTAGTAGGAAAAAAAAAAAATGCTTCGCTGAGCGCAGCTGGATACAACCGCAAAGGTCCAACCCTGAACAGTTGGGGCGAAAATGGACACAATATTCGCGCTTGATACAGGTCTGAATTTGGAATGTAATTCAATATTTGACACATAATAGGTTTCTGACACTGTAGTCAGAGAACTTAGAATTGGTTATATGATTTGAATTTATATTCAATTTTTCGCTTTTGTGCAATACACTATGCTGTTGCGAATTTGCGGTCGTATAATTACAAGAAATTTTATAATTTTCTATTACAGGGATCACAACTCATACTCTTCCATGTTACAGAGAAGGAAAAGAAGAATAGCATAAGGGGTTATTTACAAACATATTAAGTGCAATAGGTCATTTGTGGTGTGGTGTAAATATATATGGATTAAATTTATCCTATTTATTTTTGTCAGACATTGTAAATGTTTAATATTTGTACTTTTATCTCTGAGCCATAGCTTATATTGATAAACATTGTTTTTACACAAGACAATCAATGCAAGAATGAAACTAATAAAGGTCATTTATACTTTGTGTTTTAAATATTAATTGCCGTTATAACCTTTCATAGGAAATTGATTGATATTATAAGAATGCACCACAATAAAGCAACAAAGTATTGTTACATCACCATTTATCACTTGTCAAGCATTTTAAATGAAAATACAGCAAAAACAAAGGGTATATATGCTGTTAATGTAACAAATGGTAGGGTAGGTTCATTTGTGTAAATAATTGGTATTCTGATTGGGACTAAGTAGTGACCCTTTTATCCCATATTTTTTTTCTTTTACTGTAATGAACCAGTTAATGGCTAAAGTTCGTAAAGACCCAAACCAAACACCTTTTGATAGATATTTTCAACAATACCTGCAGATATTTGGTTATTATCTGTTTCCCTCTGCCTGTACCACTCTGCACGACTCTTCATAAGACTGCATATCATGGTTTTGTGGCATCAAATACGCTGACCTGACCTAATTTATTTTGACCCTGACTTATTACTGAACATGCTTTTTAAAAGCAAAACAAAACTTTGTACTAAATCTTAAAAAAAAAAAAACCATCATGATGCAACCAAGTGAGGAAACAAGTGGGACTTGAGTTCTGTTCAAATAGCCATATTTTCTCTTTCATTTCAAATATTTGCCAAGGACAGTCTAAAAATGAAAGTAGTTTTTATATTTATTTATTCTTTGTTTTCACATTTCATTTCAACAATGTAATTACATAATACTATATGGTGTCATTGTCACTGAAGCATTTGTAACTTAAGTGACCAGTGATCTTCTGTGAAAGTACTTATATTCGTGGGGTACCAATTTTCGTGGTGTTCATGGATGGCTTTATCCACGAATTTAAGTATCCAATGAAATATACCAACTGTTATCCAAATATAGACATGGAAAAATTCACATTTAGGTTTGACTACATGGATACGGGCATGTAATCTAAAAAATACATGGTATATCAGCAAATGCACTATGAACTACATATATAACTTCAATCTTTAAAAAACCTAGACTGTACAACTCTTAACCTTTTAATTCTCATGAAAAATGAGTTTCCGATGATGAAGTGTTCATTTTATCTCCTCAAAATTCTCATACGCCAAAAAAAAAAGAATTTCATATTGGGCTTTACTTTTTTTATTTCTACAATTCAAGGTACATTTGTAGCATTTTGTATGTAACCGTTTTCTTTAAGTGACCTGTTTATGGCTGAATTACCCTTTGATGATTGTTAATCTGTTGATCATTCAATCTCGGATTAATTAGTGTCATGACTTCGAATTACACATGTGCAACAATCAAAATGTTTACTTTGCAATTTCCTTCAATTGAGACAAAAGTAAAAATGAATCAGTTTATTTCGGAAAGCAATTATTTTATTTAGAATTAGATGAATGTTGTCAGTAATGAAAGACAAGTAAGTGAAAATGAACACCTTATTTTGCAATGTCCCACAAATCATTTCAAAACAACTTATGATTATTTTCAAGAATCTACGTTTCTGATGTCTTCAAATTCCCCACTCGATTTTTTTTCATAAAAACTAAAATCCATGAATTTAAGAACCCATGAACATGTAACTATTGCTCAAACCACAAAAACTGATACACATGAATTAAAGTACTTTCACAGTTTAAAGAAATATAAACACATACTTTATACAAAAGGTCTACACATTTACAACAATGTTGGCACAGCCTTTCACATCTTGCAAGCATATGAGTCTACCTATATTTCATTAACTGATTTAACACTTATCTTGATGTGCTGAAGTGTTCACAATTATACTGAGTACATAGCTATGAAAAAATGCATCTTTAAAACAAGTTGAAATTATGATAAAACCAATACATATTTAATAGTTGCATTTTATTGCAAAGTGTTGTTCACACTAGGAAAATTTACTTTTGTCAAACTAATAGAAATAACTGAGAACTGTTTCCAGACAGCTTTTGTTGTGGTGTATTTGTATTTGCAGTAATATTTCATACATAAATATATATTTATAATGACTAAGCAACAAAGTACTCTCTTGTTGTGCTTAAGAGAACTGCCAAGGCTCTTCAATAGTTGAATGTGTGTTGGTGGGGGTAGATGTTCATTCACCAACAATATAAAATTTCAGTGTACCATGAACCCCATTCAATAATTTCAGGCACATCAAAATGGTATTTCAGGCACCTAAATTTAATGTATGTAGACCTGAAAACCAAATTATTATAATGGCCTTCAGTTGAAAAAAAGTTATAAGAAATAATTTGTGGCTTTCTTTACTGGTTGAAAACGTGTACAGGCACTCACTAAAATGGAAAGTGATATTTTTTTTTTCATTTTAGAATTGTATAAAAATAATTTACATGCTAGTCCTACAATTTCTATAATACCAGTCAATAGAACACTACATTTTGTGTACCTATCTTGTGGAATCCTCAACAAGAAGAAAACATCTATATAAAGGTAAATTTACAATAAACGGATCATCTCTCAGATCTTTCATAAACATTTGGCATGTTAAACTCTTATCACTTTTATTTTCTCAATATTGTACTTGAATTTCTTAATTTGATGCATTTTGTATAAACTCTGTGAAAAACATTAAAATTATGATTGAATCATCAATAGATTTTTTCTAATTTAAGTAGTTGCTTAATTATTTGTTTGTTATTGATATATAATCATAGGGCCACTCACTTTGTTTTTGATGTACCAACAACTCTATTACATTATTCATGCTGAAAAACTTTTAAGAACTATGTTTGAACGCTTAACAAAATGATTATTGTGAAAATTTGGAATAATAAATACACCAAAAACAAAGTTGGTGAACCTACAATTGTTTTAAAATTTCAAAACAAAAATATATCTGGCAACAATATATATCAATTCCAAAGAAAAAATTTATACAAAGGAGATTTAAAGGAAATATTTTAAACAGATTTCTGTGCATCTATTTTATGAAGTTTTATTCACTGGTAGCAAATAAGACCGTTAAATCATGTGACATCACCCGTTTACTTTTCTTTTAACTTGAATAAATTTTGCTGATCCTGTGGACTCTTGACATTAAAATTCTTTTGAATTAAAAATCCAATGCTTTGACAAAAGTAGATAATGCTGAAATCATGCTAAATGCATTAAATACTGCAATATAATACTCCCTCTATTATCAGAGCATCAAGTTTACTTGTAACCTTTACGCAGTAACAACATACTAGAAAACCTTCATCAACAAAATGAATTCCAACAAATACTACACATACATAAATAAAAATATCACAGATAAATATGGCACATATCACAATTTATAGGTTCTCAAACATTGACAGATATACTATTGCATTCAGAAATCAACACCTATTGATACAGGAATATCTAAGGTGCAGATTTGCAATAAGGATTGGAACAATTTTAAGGTTGATATATAAGTCTAAGTGTTTGCATAACAATATTTATATCAATGCTGTAATGACTTGTATTCTACAATCAATAAAATGAAGTTTCATTCTAACACAGTACAAGGGTCATAGGAAATGCTTGGTAAGAACATTGCATACAATTTTAAAAGATCCTACTTCACATACAGATCATGCATTCAATTGATTTTTATAATCTCTGGTGATTAGATGGATGACATTGACTTTACAACGGTGAGACTGAGTAATTCATATCAGTTCATAATATTTACAAGTATTAGGATCATAATAACAGTTTAGACATGGATCATACATCAGATCTAGTTCTTCTTCATTGTCTGTGTCTTGTGTTCTTCCTGTAATCTGATCTGTAATGGGAAAAAAAGGTCAAATTAAACACATTTGTAGATCGGTTTTGTATAGTGGTACTTAAAATGTCTAAGCAATTTTTCTCTGTTGATGAAATTACATGTTTTATAATATCTGAACAATATTTAAAAAAAAAGGCCAATTGAAATTAACAGGTAGGAAAATCAACTTGCCCAATTTTGTTTTTCTGCATTACAATTCTGGAAGATTTTCTTGAAATTCATTGTTTTTACTTCTTAAAATAATAAAAAAAATAATGGTTTTCATTGATATCATTTGGTTGAAAAAAATAGGTGGCAGACAACCAGTTGAAGTGATGAAAATCAAAATTGGTCCAAATTTTTTTTAGAAGATTCAGTCTACAAATAGGTCTAAAGCCTAATATTTGGAATGTTTGGCATTATTTTAATAATGACAAGTTCAGGGTTCTCACTAAGGATTTTTGAAGGCAAGTCCAGGGACTCGTCATTTTTGGCCATGGTGAGTCCAACAGTAAGAAGAAGATATTTTATTGCAATATAATTCATCATTTTAGCCTCCATGACCTAATAGAGCAATGAAATGACATTGAATTTAGATTACTTTTAAACTTTTATTATAAAATGATATGTGTGTTCAATTAATAAAAATATTTCAATTTGGTACATCTTTGGACTCACCAGTTTTGAAAATGGCGAGTCCAGACAGATTTTGATGAGTCCAGGACTCTTGGACTTGCCTTAGTGAGAACCCTGAAGTCCAATGTTTATAATGGAATTTTTCTAAAATATATAATTTATATGTTGTTTCCATTGCTTATGAAGGAAACCTGATATTGATTAAAGTCTTGTCATAAATTCTGCATTAATATTTCGATCCTTATAGAAAATCATTATGAAATACTTGTTGTTGAAATGAAGCCACCCACAAACATATTAAGATTGGAGAAGATATTTTATTTAAGCAAAAAGGCAACTAAAATAGTTGTTTAGATTCAAAAAAATTACTGAATACATAAGCAGTACTCATGATTTGAGACATTTACCTTTAGTTGGTGATGTGCTGCTGATGGAAAAATCTTCTGTAGAATTGGCAAGTTCATGAGGTAATATTATGGGTGGACTAAATACACCACTCCAATCCCTGTAAAAAAAAAAAAAAAAAAAAATCTTATTCCTGAGGTCAATATTTCATAAATAAACAAGAGAGAAAGAGAGAACAAATGAAATATCTTAATGTAACAAACAAATAGGTGGAAAGGAAGGGGAGAAGTTCCCCTAAAAATGCTGGCAGGTTTTTTTCCCATAATGCACATTTATCACATCTTTTAAATACACTCGATTGGCTATTCTATTGCCAACAATACCAATTTTAAGTAGTTTTAAAGTTGTAGGGAAATTTTATCAAAATTACATACATTCCTAATTTTGGGTCTCATGCATCTTGAAAACAAGAACTGTAACCTTAGTTTTATGTTATCATTTTTTGAAGATCTCATCTTGGTCTACAACAAACATATCACCCCTTATAATTGAAGGAAACAGAGTTGTCTGTGGAGTATTACATGGTTATTTCAACTCAAAATAACCATAATTATTTTGATAAATTCTTCATACAATATTTACCTTGGATTGGATGACATGGTGTCTGTGCTTAATCTTCCTTTCATTTCATCTTGGAAATTATGTGGATTGTTTGGCTGAAAGAAAGAAGAGGAAATATCTTTAAAACATACATTTACAATGAAATTTAAGGTATACAGTAAATTACATCAATGAGGCAGTAACCCAGCATCATAAATTATCTTAAATATACATCTTGCACAGATAAACTAGGAAATTTTTCAAGATGAGGAATGTCTGCCTTTTAATATTTTAAGAAATTCAATTTACTGTAAAAATATCACAAAACACTTTTTTTCAATTTGATTGCTTGCAACCATCGGGTACTTTCTTCAAATGTCATAAACACAACTAAATTCTTTAAAACTCTGTTAAATTTTTTATGTTTATAATTAAGATATACATAACATCTTGCATATAGTTATAAAAATAGATTTTGCTTTGCATCAATAAAATTTGCACATCAATTTTTTGTCAGTATAACTTCCAATTTAATTGCAAAAAGTAAAAAAAAAAAATGTATATATTATGTTCAAACACATAGAGGTCAACAAATAGTTTACTGTTTACACCAATAGAAAAGTGTTGACACACTATTTAACTATAAATCTTTGGAGTGCAGATATGAAGACTTAAACAAAAAAATCCAATATGACAAAAAACCTACGATATAACTATAGAAAACCACTGACCAGGTTCATGATTTGGAACAGACATGCCCTCTTACCCCTCCCTAAAAAAAGTCTACATGTCTTAGCTGCTTTCTTCAAACAAGTATGAATAAACTTGATATTTATTAATATATTGCCCAACTGTGTGCAATTCATAAAAATAATGAGAATTTTGTATTTTTCATTATACCTTTAATATTCATCGTTATTAAAAATATATGTTGCATTTGAATTTATCTGCTAACCCTGTATACATTTCCATGTTTCCAATGTTACAGGTTTGGTGAAATTACCAATGAGGCACTTGAAAATAGATTTAACTTGTGTCCTTGCACATTTACACACACTATTGTATAACTATTTTTAAAAATGCTACAATGCAATACCTAATCACTATTTCCCTCTGGAATTGTATTATTTCTTTTTTCCAATTTGAAATTAACAGTTTGATTAGAATAGTGTTTTTTTTATTTTATGATAAATGAAATTAAAATTAACCGAAATATACATGATATATCCTCAACCCTAGATCATACATTTTGGTTAAAAAGTTTGGTTCCTTTCTAAAACCATAAATAAAACTGAGGACAGGGTCTCTTGAAATATTTACTTTAATAGTGTATATGTTTTTGTTTATTTTTGTCACATGCCATAGTTTTTAGTATACTATGACAATAAAAATATGAATTGAATTAAAATCAAAATAGTTAATAGTACACCAGGGGTTAAAAAATCCACTAGCCCGATGCCCGGGACTAGACTTTTACACTTCGGGCAATTAAAACTGGTAACCGAATATGCCCGACGGACTAGTAACAAACAATTCTTGGCATTTCCAAAATAGTAAGTGGAAAATCCTCTCATCACTATTCTATCTTTGCCAATCAGATTCAATTATGTATGTCATCCGGGATTCCAAGAATTTGAACCGATTTTGTACATGTTTTAAAAATAGAACAACTAACTCTGGGTGGACCGGTATCATGTATTGATCGCAATTCACGTACTTTCAATATCAATTTCTCAGTACAGGGGGTATTGTACATTGCTTATGCCGAGATTTTCAATTAATGGTACTTGGGTGTATGATGTAATGATCGATATTGACCTGTCTTGTCGGACAGCTGTTAATTTGAGCTTGAAACCATGCACAAATTATTTCTAAACATTTTAGTACGGCCACCCATAGGAACTTTGTCAGTTTCAAAACGTAAAATGGTAGATGAAGGGGGGAATGAGGCTGAAAATTTATCCCAAAAAATGCCAAATACGACCAGGAAAAGCGGAAAAAAACATTTATAGTGTCATGGACAGAAAGATTCCCAATGGGCAAGGTCGATTGTTACTGATGATAAACAAGAGATGATGTTTTGTGAATATTGCCGTTATTTTCCTGATCACGCTGATAAAAAGTCTGCTTTGTATGTGGGAACAACAAATATACGAATTGAACCACTGGTTTCACGTGACAAGATCAATGAACATGTTTTCTGTGCCCGAAAATATTTAACAACCCATAGTACAAGGGATATCCAAAAAGATGTCTAGAGATCAATGTTATAATTAATAAAACAAAAATTTATTTGATTTATTTTATCAAATACCGTGTATAATGCCGCATTCAAAACAAGGGACACCCACTCTAAATTTGTAAGGTATACTCGGGCTAGCAGGTCAGTTTTGATGGGCTAGCAGATCTTTCAACAGGGCTAGTAAAATCCTGCTACCAATAAGTCCTGGGCTAGTGAGCTGTAACAAATTTTTTTAACCCCTGTACACTCCCATCATTGTCAATTGACTGCTGAAGACCCAAGGACTTTTTCAGTGACAGCCCACAGTTATCTTCCTACACATAAATCAAGTAACTATTTTGACCAGTTATAAATTTTCCAGTGATGCTGGTACTCCAGCCTAACAGCTACTAATCATACTTACAGGTGCCTGCCATGTGCTATCTTCATCACTTGTAGCATGAGGTGAGAGGTCATATAATACACCATTACCAAGAGTAGGACAATCTCCTTGTATTGGAATATTGATGGTTGAACCCTTTGCTGGACTGATAGAATTAGTTTTTCTCGGCGATGGCACCACATCTTCCATGGCGTCCTCATTCTGACGTTTCATGCTTTCAAACATTCTGGCTTCGAATGAATCAGTTATTTCTGCTATTTGGTATTTAGCAAAATCATATGGTTTCTGAAATGTCAATACAGTTTTTTTAAATTTTCATGTAACAATGTCTGAAAGTGACTGAAATCATGACAGCTTTGCATAAAATCAGATTCATTTGAAAGAATGTACTAATCTGACCTAGAAATGAGTTTTTTTTTTTTTTTTTTTTTTTTAAGAAATAAAAAGCCTCTCGATTTAAATTCCTTTACTTATAAATAAAAAAAAATACTGTTACATCAAACTGTAAAATTACATTTAAAGAGCTTGGTAGAAAACCAGGGACATTACATGGTTAGTGGTTGGGAAAAGTGAAGTGACGGACAGGAAAGCAACTTCTTCGCCCTACTTACCCACTAGTATGAGTCTTTAGTACATAATAGGATCTCATTGTTGTTATGGTATATGCCTGTTTTACTACATGGAAGACAGAAAATTGCAAATTGAACCACCAATAGAATGTCAAACATGCAGAAAAGCGTACCTTCAGCAGGCGTTTTATGTTTAGCCCTTAAATGGGGATATTTTTAGATAACGCATGTGAAGTGTTTTATTCTGATTACCCTTACTTTGTCTCTCGTAGTAAAATTATTTGACCTAAAACATGTAAAATTCATAACTTGATAAACTGCTCTCTAATGTTGTTTATAACATCATAATTAATAAATTTAAAAAAATTTAAGTCCCAAGGATCCACACTAGTACATATTCCCTCTTCTGTATAGCATGCTCAATTTGATGCATATCAAGTAAACCTACTGGCTGACTCTTAAAGGGAGCCAATCCAGTTTCAACTTCATACTACAATACTTACCTCAGATGATTTTGCTAACGACTTTCTTACATCCGCCTGAGAAATTTCCCTTAAAGACTTCCGACTCATGCGTGAAATGCTTCTATTTGTAAGAGTAGCTTCTAAAGGATCTTGTAATTGACTAGCACTTAATTCTGGACTACCACTGGCCTTTTTAGGTCCATTTTGCAAAGGTTTCAGATTTAATTTTGTATCTTTAGAAGTTTTAGATCCCACACTAATTTCAGAAAATCCTGTGTCTGTAGTACTGCCTTTTTTAGAGGCAATATTTTTAGAAATTTTCTTCTCCGTTTTATTTTTGGATATCCGTTTATCACTAGAAGTTTGTGGACTAGCACCAGCACTAGATGTGCCACTATTAGGTCTATGTACAACTGTGCCACTCTGTGGCCTTCCTCCTGAGGTACCACTTCCAGGTCGACTCAATGATGTGCCACTGCTTGGACGACCCAGAGATGTGCCACTATGTGGCCTACTATTTGAACCACTATGGGGTCTACTATTTGAGCCACTAGCTGGCCTGGACCCTGGTAGTTTTTTTCTAAGTTTACTGTCATTTTCATCACTACTTGACTGGTTGCCATTATAAAAATCATCTTCAGGCTTTGGACCTCTTGACAGAGTGGCTCTATTTCCTCTTCTATGTCCTTTGGCAGTTGAAACTGTATTAGTCTGCAATAAAAGTAAGTAAGATAAAACTGGAAAATGCAACACTGAAAAGCTAATGACAAAAAGTTTTTAAAAACTTCTAGTCAAACTATTCACTGAATAAAGATAAAGATATTTATTATATTCACCCTTTTAAAAGACGTAATGTTTTTATTTCAAGCTTTGCAAAGGAGTCTTTAATTTATGCTTGCTTATTTGTTTATAAAAGACAGTGGGTTAACATGTTAGGAATAACATAACCCAATAAATGACTACACTTTATGTTCCCTTGTTACTGACTTGTGTATTCAAGTGTCACATCACAAAGATTATTTAGATACTGCATGTACTTCAATGTTCACTAAGCTAAAAAAAAAATGTTTTATAGGATGTATTGAACTACACTTGGTAATTTCATTATTTTTAATCTAATGAAAAATGCAAAGATTTTTTTACAACAAAAATTGTATTCTTAAATTTGTAAATGTATTTACAATGCATTTTCATAAATTTCCAAACACTTCTACAAATCCAATCTTTATCAATTTAAAGTAACGACTAGACAAGTGGTCCTTCACATTTATCCTTTTATTCTGGATAACTAAGTTGTAATGCTTAAAGAACTGAAGTTAATATTGAGATTGTATTATTAGGTTGATCCATGTCTCAATGAAATTTACACGACATCTTATAAAATTCATAATATTTGACCTTCTTTTATTTATAAGTATGGTGATTATTTAGTCTCTTACATATTGAATGGATTCACTTCCATCACTGAATGTCATTTGAGAGATTTCATTTAAAGTATTTTTGCTTTGAAGGAATATGATAATTTAATAATTTCAATTACAAATACTCCTTAACATTTGTTATCTTGGGGGGCTTAACAGAAAAGAAATTATACCAAAATAAATCAAACATAATTATAAATATTAATGAACAGTATCTTACTTTACTCAGATCTGAGTCATTATCGACTATGTTGTTTGGAGATAAACGCCTCTTGGGTGCTGACTTAGGCTTGGATACAAACAAAAACATTTCATTATTTTCTTCCTCAATTTCACTGAAATAGAAAATAAACTTCGATTCTGCATAAAGGTAAAACTTACTGCTATTTCATTAACACTTTTTCTACACCTACACTAGCAATTATTAAGAACTTTCAATATGGTTGGTTCATTTTTAACGGCTGTATGGTAACTTTATTTTTGTTCTGGTTGAATTGACATTGGTGAACATCACCATTGTTAACCCTGTCGCTTGTTCATGTGCCTTTCCCATGTAAGGAACATAGTCAGTGATTATCTTTATCCCTTGATGTTTTGGTTTTTTTTTTTGGGGGGGGAGGGAATTTAGTGTATTGTTGATATTAATTGTTTCTTCAAATATTTATAAAATTTCATTATATTTTAATGCATTCAAAAATTAAATATTGACAAATACTTTTCTAAACATTTGTAAATTTATATTCATGTTCGAACAATACACCTTATCGCTATTTGTCCGCCATTACTGGACATCACACAGGTTCCCGTAAAATTTTGACGTCACAATACAAAATATCTGACGCCACAATGGAAAAGTGATTGTTGTATGACGTCAAAAGTTCAAGCGGGACAGATTCTCGGGTCAGCCGGGAATAGCGATAAGGTGTATCAATGAATTGATGCCATATCAAATAAACCTACTCATCGCTTTCTTCATACTCTCCTCCACCTTCATCCTCAATGTCTGATTCTGCAGAATTACCTCCATGTATATCTAACACATCCTCTCTGTTTAACATGGCTATCACATTACTTACAGATTCATCCATATCTCTACCATCTCCTTGGTAATTTCTAACATTATATTCTTTGTGAAAAAAAAAATCAAATTTAGTAAAGGGTCCTGAGAACACTGTGCGTTACCTGAGATTGCTGCTGTCAGTGAAAAGTGTAATGTTGACTCCAAAAATTCTATTTAAGGTCAAGTTACAGTAAATGAACGCCATCTAGCGGATTCCGCGAAATGTTGCGACGTTTTGTACGAGTTACGTCCCATTGACTAGATTTAGCAATGTTGCTACCGGCAACTTTCCGACGAGACAACGTTAAATTTGATGGAAAGTATGTTACTTCTAGGAGAATGAACTTGTTTGATAAAATTGAAGATGTAGAAATGCTACAGAATTTTGAAAATTAATATGAAAATAGTCATGAAGACTTAGTCTATCTTCAAAATTGAAAATAGGGAACTTGACTTGCGTCAGGGAGGTAAGGTAGTAACGTTAGACCTTGGATATCTCGCCGACCAGTTAAAACAGTGTAAAAACTGTAGCTCACCACTATTTCTACATAATTGTGATGGGGAAAATAGAGTGGTCTCGGAAGTATTCTATATGTAGTATGTTAAAAACGTCCCTACAGAAACCCTACATTCACTGGACATCGTCCCGCAGAAAATAAGAAGGATGCAAGTCGGGACATTAATACTAAACTTTTAGTCTTGGTAAGATATCCCCTATTTTGAAAATTACCACACCAGTCGGAACAAGTAAAAATATTTTCTAATTCAAGAAAAGGGAATGAACTACATAAAATTCTCAGCTGCGTCAATCAGTCTTGAAACAGATGACACAAAACGATTTTAAATTAACATTAACCTTCTTCACGATTGCAACAATCATTTAATATTTATACATCACAATTTTTGAGACTATAACACATAAATGATAAACAAAAAGTTATAGAGATTCATCGCTACAGTTTGTTTTCTAACGATTTTTTGTTATGGTGTTTTCTTTCACGTCCGCAATTTTGTGGAAAGTTTCGAAGCTAAAAATAAAACACAAATCCTTAAATAGACACATGTATAAATAGTACATGGTTTGAAGAGTTATATATGGTATATTTTCCTAATAAAAGAACATCCAGTGGATCCTAAAAGAATTTTCTTAGTATTGATTAGTATTGTTATTTCCTCAAGGTAATTGATATATCAATGGTTAAAAAAATAACTGGAAACAAATCAAAATGTGTATCCTGAAAGTTTAAACTCAAATATAGAATAGAACTGTTCTCAATTCTATTTCACTCATACAACTGAAGGTTAAAAACGAGATTCTGTCGATCATGTCGATATCATACTACCAATATATACATGTGTGTGTATCTACTAAAAAAATATGCACACACACTTTCAGTACCCAAAGTAAAATGAAAATCCCGTAATAAGTCAGTACTTCAGTAAGACAGCAACCAGACAACAACACCAGGCCACAAAAAATGGAAAAGGAAAAGACATCTGATGTTGTGCATTTGTGCAGACAGATGGAATTTAACAAGTTAAAGACAAAATTTTCAGTCATGTTTCAGTCTGTGATTGCTTTTTTTTTTTTTTTTTTTTTTAAGGGTTGATACGCTTTTCAAGAGCTTCATTAATATAAATTGTTATGTTAAAAATAAGGCCGTTAGTTTTCTTGTTTGAATTTTTTCACATTTTTCAAATCGGGGCTTTTTATAGCCGACTAAACGACATAGGTTTTTTTGTCTTTTTTAAGTCCGTACGATAGTCTGTAATTGCTTATATCCACCTCATGTGAACTTTAGTGGATAGTTGTTTCATTTGCAATCAGACCACATCACCTTGTTTTTATATTTATTGGTGTCAAATACAGTTGCTCTCTGATGCACATTAATTAATTGTCACATATGATAAGATTTAAAAGGGGTTTGCAGAATACAAGATAATGGCGAATATAGAAATTGAATAGAGAAAAAGAGCCATAAATAAAAAAAGGATAGAGAATAATGGTTCGCAAAAGTATAAAGAATAACAATGGAAAATAAAATAATAAAGTTAATACAAGTGTAGTGGTTAAAGACATGAACCATGTACAGAATAAAGCAATCATGTAATATTAGAAGAATTTTACAATAATTTTTTTAGAATAAGCGTTATATTCAAAATTAAAGAAATTTGCCATTAAAATTAAAGAATACAAAAGTTAAGGACACACTTAATATAGACCCTTAAATTAATCGTTGTATTATCTCCGTGTTGTTGGTAATAAACCAAAAATATCACTAGTCAAATTATGCAGAGGGTGTTGTATTTGATGCAATATATTCTTATCTTCCTTTTCCTAATGTATCTTCAATTTTTATTGGTTTACATTGACCAAAGCCTTAGTTTAATATAGTTTCATGTTATTACTATACCACCAGATGTATTAATAACCACACGACACTCTTTCAAGAATTTGTAGAATCATTCATATAATGTTTATTTATATATGGGACGTAAAATTCTATTAAACAATTGTATAATCTTTGTAAAAACAGACGACTGCACAGACATAATACATTTTGCAGCAGCATATGAGCAGACCACTTTCTGTCGTTATATAGTACCAAAAACAAGCTATCAAATGTTCCGCTGGTAAAGTTACCGGTTTTTCAAAAAGTGGCCAAATCTTATATTGGAACAGAGAAATAATGCAAACAGATGACCTGCAAGATAGTCTAAGAAATTTTATTAATTGGTTACCTGATACAATGCAAAGCTTTTTTATTCGAGAGTTTTAGTTTATTCCATGGAGATAATTCTTTCTTTGGTAGTTTTGAACAAACTATAAGGGTTTTGTTGACTCGCTATCTTTGCTGAAAACGGTGCTACCAGAGAGGAAACAAACTGGTAAAGGTTATAACCAGGAGAGCCTAGTATTTGACATTCTTGGTGTCAAATACGACGCACATAATGCCGTTGGAGATGTTCAAGCATTACAACAACGAGTAGAACATGTGTCGCTTCCCACTGAGAAAGTTGCACCACATTCATTCTCAGTGGAATATGTTTCACAGTCTTATGAACGTGAGGGGTCTGATGGTGTGGCCAATCTCCTATCGGAACTTTTTTTTTTTTGAAAAGCCAGAGTCACATAAGATAAAATAATTGAGTCAAGACATTGGGATGATTTCTATTTTTTTGTTATAACTATTTTTGCGTTCATGTACTTACAAAGTATTTTTGTCTGAAATAGTAATTTTTTTAAACATGTTTATTGATAATGAACATATCATATTTTTTACAACTGTTATAATTTAATTTGAAATATGTGTCAATAAAAGAGGGTCTGACTGGGGTTTACGGAAAAAAGAGTAAAAGGCAAAAACTGCAGAATAAAAGGCAAAAAAAAAAAAGAATAGAGAATGATGAGGTGCTAAAATATAATGAATAAAGAATACAATACTGGTAATACAAAATAAAAATCAATAAATGAAGGACCCTCTATCCAGACCCTTATGATAAAAAGAACCTATCAATACAAAACACATAATCATCATGCGTAATCAACACCAAGAACGTTGGAAATTCATACCATGATAACTTGACGTTATGTAATAAAAATGAAGACGTCACGATTTTTGATGTTTTTTTTCCAAAATGTTGAGGTTGCGTCGTTTCTAGAGGGAAAACGAAGTCGGTGACCATATCTTTTTTTCACATCATCTTATTTGTTAGACATAGAGGAAGAAATCATCATTTTTTTCAAGAATTCTATGGAGTGAATCTCGTGATTTATACAGGAAACCGAAAAGTGTAGAAGAAAAATAAGGATTTTCCCTATATATTCAATGTAATTTAGTACCCTTTCGGACCATTTTAAAAATGGCTTTTTCTCGAAAACGAAGTCGGTGACATATACTTTTTTTTTTATTTTCTGATGTATATTTTCAATATCTAATTGAATTCTAAATTTTTTAAAAATCTATGGACTGGTCATTTACTGATCCTTGACCTTAACAGTAAAATACAGAAAAATAAATAAAACAGAACTTTTTTAAGATGCTATTTCTTGATTATCAAGAAGCTTCTGTGCAAGTTTAATAACATTCCATGAAGATTTAATAAAGTTATTGATGTCTAAAAAAACTTTAACCACAAACTGAACTCAATGTTGATGCTGCAATCAACAACAGAATGTAAGATAGCTTTGTTTCAATTTAGCCACTTTTGTCATAGTCTTAACAAAAAAAACTTTGTCATGTCCAATATTTAATAAAAGAATTGCATGGGCTATTCCAGAAATTTTGTCATTTCATTCTTTAAAAGTTGTAAAATTTTAACTTACAGTTAATGCACTCATATTTTATGAACAATTGTATGTTATCAATTCAGAGGTAAAAGAGAATCATTATCAATTCTGAGGTAAAAGAAAAACAAAGTGATAAGTTTAGCATAATATGCCAAATACATGTTTAAGTACCAGGGGCTAGTATTGCAGGATACTCTAGTGTCAGTTTAATATTCATATACAAATTTTTAAAAAATGTCAAAGTGACCAATCACCAAGATTTTTTTTGTGCAATTTAGGAATTTTTAATCAATTTTATCATTTTTTGTCAACATTTAAGCCTTATCTTTCAATATGACAGATTAAGGATCTACATAACACGAAGCAAGATTATTTACCTCCACTCTTTCTAGTGTATATATCCTCTGCCTTGCTGGAGAATGATGGCCTACTCTCTACACCTGAATCATTAGGGGAACCTGAGTTAAGGGACTCAGACTCAGAAGATGTCCTTCTTGGCCTGTTTGGACTTAAGTGACTTAGAACACGACTAGCTTCTGGTGGTGACTTAGTCTGTGGAGATGAATTCTGATTTTCATCTGTAATATAAGCATACAAAATCAGTCAATTTGAAAAAAAAATAAATATACAAATTGTTCTACACATTTTGTTTATATCTACTAGGGCTTCAAAATTTTTGTTTCTTTATTATAATTATATATCACAATTTACTCCTTCAACATGTGTATTTTGTCTTTTTGTACTCCCGCAACTAAAAGTTGGGGGGCATATAGTTTTACCCCTGTCCGTATATATATGGGTATATAGTTATTCCACATAACTCCTCCTACAGTTTGAACGCTAGGAAGTTTTCACTTTGCTGGATGTTTGAACATATATTGAAGGTGTGCATATGGTCAGGGTTTTGATTTTTATTAACATTTGCTCTTTTGGGAGATAGTTGAACTTTGTCATTTTGGAGTATATACTCGCATAAGAGGTGCATAGTTTCCAGATAACCCCTCCTACTGTGAACCATAGACCTATGTGCTCCCATGCTCAACTTTGTGTATTTTACAATAACACTTTGCATCTATCTCCTAGACACAATAATATCTCAAATAAAGTCCTACATTGACTTTTGTTATAATACAAATACTTCAGAGTGGAGTGCGGGGGGCATCACTTTGTCTAGTTATGGATAGAAATTATGAAAAAAACAAACAAACAAAAATAAATTATTTTCACATATACATTTTCTTTTATAAATTGGTACATATACACTGCTTGCTATATGTTTACACATAAATAGTAATTATACTAAAATTCACTTTCTGCAAATTATACCAGAAATGATAAAACACATTTATTTAAATGATTACAATCAATTATAAACCCCCTATTATAATTGTTTTCATTTTTTGATCTTCTAAGAATTATAATAAATGGGGAATGTGTCCATGGGACACAGATGATGCCCCCGCTTGCATATAACGTTATAAAGGGATATAACTCTAGAACTGTAAAAGTGACACCACCCAAATTTGTACTTGATTTGAGTTTTGTGGTAATAAGCATTGTGCATAAGTTTAATAACATTTGGTAGAGGCAAACTAAAGCTAGAGAACAGAAACAAATATTTGAGGAATTTTTCCATTTGCAAAGGGGCATAACTCTAGAACGGTAAAAGTGAGGCTACCAAAATTCAAACTTGATCTGTGTTTTGTGGTAATAAGCATTGCGTATAAGTTCCATAACATTTGGTTGAGGTAAACTAAAGTAACAGAACGGAAACGAAAAATTCAGCAATTTTTCCATTTGTAAAGGGGCATAACTCTAGAACGGTAAAAGTGACACCACAAAAATTGAACCTTGATCTGTGTTTTGTGGTAATAAGCATTGTGCATAAGTTTCATAACATTTGGTTCAGGCAAACTTAAGTTAGAGAACAGAAACGAAAAATTCAGCAATTTTTCCATTTGTAAAGGGGCATAACTCTAGAATGGTAAAAGTGACACCACCAAAATTCAAACTTGATCTGTGTTTTGTGGTAATAAGCATCGTGTATAAGTTTCATAACATTTGGTTGAGGTAAACTAAATTAACAGAACGGAAACGAAAAATTCAGCAATTTTTCCATTTGTAAAGGGGCATAACTCTAGAATGGTAAAAGTGACGCCACCAAAATTGAAACTTGATCTGTGTTTTGTGGTAATAAGCATTGTGTATAAGTTTCATAACATTTGGTTGAGGCAAACTAAAGTTAGAGAACGGAAACCAATTTTGGGACGTACGTACGTTCGTACATTGGTACATACGTACAGACGGACAAGGATAAAACTTAATGCCCCCTCCGTTATGGAGAGGGCATAAAAAATAGTCCCTTATTTGTTTGCTACCTTTCAAAGACCCAGCACTATTTACTCTGTCTTTATTTGAGTTAGTTGGACCATTTTTAACACGTATCCGCCTCCTTTTGTGTCTGTCTGATGAAGGTTCCCGAGGTGGATGTGGCTGTACAATCATTTTATCTTGTCTGTCAATTTCTGAAAAGTATTATATTCTATATTATTAAACTTGATTTTTATCATTTCATTGTATAACATTGTTAAATGTCAACAGGTCTTTTACATTTATCTTATAAATAGTATTGAAAATCTTTAACAAATCTGTTACGACGAACTATACTTTGTTGACACTACAAGAGTAGTATTGTTTTACTAATTGGGTAAAACACATGTTTATGTAAAGTTCAATGCATATACCCCTAACAATATTTGAAGACTTATCTAAATAAACATAAATATAAAACTTGACAAACTTCATTAAACATGAAATAAGAATAATGAGAACTGAAATCCACACAACACATGAATAATGAACAATAAACCTTGAACTGATATTAAACAAAAGTCAGTAAAGCTTGTAATGTCTGTTAAAACAAATTTTGCATAATTAAGCAATTGTAGATTTTCATCCACCTTCACAAAAACTTGTGTCGATAAGATGATTTCATATTTTCTTTGTATCAAAGCTAATTTGTAGGTAAAATATCTTTTCTTTTTTCATATGTAGGTTCAGAGTGTGCATTCTATGGAATTGCAACAACACTTAGTTGTATGATCAAGGAAACAAAATATTTGTATGCCATCATTTCCTTTTTCAATCTCCATAGTTATTTCAAATATTTTACTTTTCTTATAACAAATTAATGTAAGATTTTTTTTAGATAAAACAAAGATTATTCCGTTCAGGATTAAAACTTATGAGTCACTAGCTACCTATTCTAGAGATCATTTCTAATGATTCTTTGGTTAGTGGATCAGAATGCTGTCTCTGGTGTAATACTGATTTATTATGGTCATGCTTTACTGATCCAGCACTATAAACTTGATTTGTTGCCTCTGTCATTAGGCCATCTTTACTGGCTATACTTGCCGATAAATCCTGTCCTCCTCCATAGCCATCTAATTAACAAAATAAAACAAATTTATTTAAAAACAACTACACTGTAAATACAATTTTCTGCTGTGTTGTGTAGTGACAATGTAGACATGTCACTGCCAAATAAAATAAGTTTTAATTTCAAATTTAACATCAATTACAATTTCTATGTTGTGATTTGTATAATGTTGTTTGTGTTTTGATCGTTTTTTGCTTTTTGCATGGCATTGTCAGTTTGTTTTCATCTTATGAGTTTGAGTATCCCTTAAGTATATTTTTCCTCTCTTTTACAAACCTTGAGATGAAGAATTGTTAACACATGTATTGACAATTTTATCATGAAGCTGAACTATATATTTCAACGTGAGAATTAAAATACTAGCACACAACAATATAGTACAAACCTTCAACTCTTGAATGAGTGCCATCAATTCTAGACTGAGTATTTCTGTAACCTCTACTTGTATTATTACCAGGCTGAAAATGTGAACAAAATTTTTTACACAAACTGAGAAAGCATATATATCTATATTCCTTCTATGAATGACAGCCTTACAAACCATGATAAGTGCCTAATACATTAATTTTACCCTCTGTACTGTTATATGCATCACATTTGATGTATCTCATCCTGATGTACGTAAAGTTTGTATATCCAATCTTCAAACATTAATGCAAATTTATCAATAATTGTAGATTAATTCTCAATACTGTGGATTCAATTACATGTACATTTATCAGTACTGATTTTCATGGATTAATGAAAATTATATTTGCTTGGTTTTTTAATTTTGTGGTTTTGCCAAAGTCAAGCCTTGATAAAATTTGTACTTTGTTGATCATTTAAATTCTGGGTTTACCTTTATCCACAAAAATAAATGGAGAATGTGTCCATGGGACACAGATCATGCCCCCGCTTGCATATAACTTTATAAAGGGACATAACTCAGGAATGGTAAATGTGACGCCACCCAAATTCGAACTTGATCTGAGTTTTGTGGTAATAAGCATTATGTATAAGTTTCATAACATTTGGTTGAGGCAAACAAAAGTTAGAGAACAGAAACCAATTTCCGGATGTACGTACGGAGGTACAGACGGACAAAACTAACACTTAATGCCCCCTCTGCTGTGGCAGGGGCATAACAACAAAAATTCTTATCCTAGAAATTATAAAAATGATACACGATAAAATATATTCTGCAAGTTTTTTGTCCAGTTTTTATGAGAAAATTTGCCATTTACTGTAAATTAAGAAATTATTGCAAAAATTGCAACAGAACATGTTGCACAAAAAAAAACAACCTTGCATTTTAAATTTAGATATCATTATCTGTATGCATTATTTTCTGAAATCCCAATAATTAATATCACAACTGTGTTCATTGTTTAACAATCGCAATGATAAATGCACGTAATAACAATTAGTTTTTATTATGATTATGTAGTTTCTTACTTAGTGACATTTTGGCAACATTTTTATCAATTTTTAAATGTAATATATATATAAAATCATGTAACATTGCACACTTAAGATTGACAGGTTTCTCATTGTGGTCCAATGCAAGATAAACGGAAACAATGATAAAATAAGAATCCCTTCCCTTTGAAAGTTTGAGGTTAAACCTTTATGTTTCCTCTAATAAAACAGACATACCTCTTTTTGTTTTCGGGCACTGGTCGGGTTGACAGCAACCTTGGTACCAAAAGCAATATGGTATCTGCTGGTATCAGTAAAAGAAGATCTTCTTCCACTTAAATCTGAAATAAACAAACATTAATGGTATTTTTAATGTCATTTTTTTTTTAATTAAAAACAAATTAAGACCCCAAAATAAGGGTGGATGCAATCATAACCATACAAAAAATATGATTCTGTTTGTCACAAATTCTTTTCAAATTTTATTTTCATTTTCAGCTAGAGTACAGTCATGTTATACTTGTCTTTATATGGATATTATGATACAGTGATAATTATCGCCATAGATAATCTATAAGTATTTTAATAATAGATATAACTCAAATTTATACAATATATTGTAAAATTGGAAGGGATTTTTGTTTTCTTGTCCAGTATTCTGTCACCATTCTTTGTGTATGTAAGAGATTATCAAACCAGAATTTGTTTTGTTTCAAAAAGAACAAATTTTCTCTCGGATCTTCTTAAACACATCTATGCTGGTCAAAGGTTCATACTTAGAAGTTCAAGCCAGTTTATTCCACATCCCATTTGCCTACCTGGTAATACTGACTCAATAATTATTCTGAAAGATGTGAATCATTGGACAGTTTCACTAACATTTGCAGCAAATAGGCTACATTATTGTGGAGAAAATTGGTGTTAACAATGCATTGTTTGTTTCATAGTTAATTAAGATGTTTGCTCCAAAGTTGTCACAAAATAAACAATGGGAATTGAATTGAAATATTTACCTAGATCCAATGTGGAAGAACGACTAACATCCCCACCAGATTTTAATCTTTCTGCATGCTTTATTTTTGTTATATTCAGCAACTATAAAACAAAAAACTAGTTTGTTCACATTTCAAATTAAACAACCACTTCAAAATATAAAATATATTTCACAAATTGACTATGAACATATATATATATATTTGCAGACCATTTGTGTGTTTTTGTTAATTTTGATTATTATTGAAGTGTTGCATTCATGACAACCCGCCATACCAAGGTATCCACTTCATGGACTCTACCGAAAGGATTCACACAGGGGTTGGTTCACCAGACAGAGTTTAATATATATATAATGTACACATTATGCTAATGTTCATTTTTTTATTATATAAGATATACTATTAAATAGAATCTGGTCCTTTCATCTTACTTTGTAAATGTACCTTTCTGCCAGTTGTGTACAAAGGAATAAAGATTCCTTGAAAATAAATCACATAAAATATGTGGTTTATTCAAGTATATGTGGTAAGGTTTCTATTAAAGCATCAAATTAACTTAATTTTCTAACTTTCTATGGTTTCATTTTCAGAAATTCATATTCTGTTTTATATTACAGTCCATAAGTATGTTTACTGATAAACTTTTTCAAATGTTTTTTTTCTTCAAATATTTCATTCTATCTATTACTGCTGTGCTGTAATGTTCACATTTTGTTCACTGAACATTAGCTTAGCACGATATTTACTCTCAGATAGAAATTAATTTTCACATGCCTGCAAAAAAATTCACCTTTTACACTAGTAACATTACATACTGTGGATTCATTTATTTTCGTGGGTACCAATTTTCGTGGATTAAGGAAAACTTACATGTTCGTGAATATTTAATTTCGTGGTTTTTGACAATGTTTGCATACAAGCCTATAGTAAATTTGCCATTCGTTGAACTTTTAATTTCGTGGTTAACATATAACCACGAAATCCACGAAAATTGGTATCCAACGAATAATAATGAATCCACAGTATACTGTAAATTCAGAAATTATTGCGAGGTTTTTATTAACGCGAATGGGATAGTATCGCAATAATTAGAACTCGCATTATGATATTTGATACACACATCTATGTGCAGATTTTCATGAAATCGCAATAATTAATCTCGCATTTGTGTCCACTCTTCAAAAATCGCAATAATAAATGCACGCATTAATTTCTGAATTTACAGTAAACAAGAAATGGTGAAATGAGTTTACTTTTATTATGTTGTGCATATAATAATTTATGGGCCACATGACTTCAAAGTCAGTCTTATTTCCTGGACCCATTCCATTAAGGAATTGACAAATTTCTATTTATTATCAATGGATCAATGTTGAGTGCAAGAAGAAATGCTTATATCGTTAGGGGGAGGGTATAGCACTCACAAATAGTTTATCCCCGCCACATTCTTGAAGTGCCTGTGCCAAGTTAGGAGCCTGTAATTTCAGTGGTTGTCTTTAGGTCATGTCTGTCATATTTGTTTTTTGTAATTTAATGCTGACTATACCATTTGGGTTTTTCTCATTGTTGAAGGCCATACAGTGATAATTGCTTCTATCCATATCATTTTAACTATAGTGGATAATATACAGAATTCAAAACATACCTGAGTTACTTGGTCCACATCAGACGCTATCTGGAACTGTTTAGGAATCTGATCAATCTCTCCTGAATTGCTAGATGGACAGCCATACAGTTCTGAAAATTTTAAAAATGATTGGAATTCAGCACATGCACATTTTATTATTCTCTGAAGCCAACACGAAGCCTGAAAGCGCTTGATGTTTATGTTTGACACTGGAAGCATACCTATATGACTTCACATTATTTAGATGTCAAAGAAGACAAGACTGTTTTGATTGATTTTCTTTTTATGAACCTTTTACACATAAAAAATAACTAAAATGGACTGATTCGTTTATATTGCATTATAATGAAACTTGGTTTTACTGTCACAAATATCCATTTACCTAGCTCTGCTATGCATTACTAGGTCAACTTAAATTGTGACAATAATCCTAGGTCTCACGTAGGAAAAGCTTCAAATACAATACAGTTATCTGAATAATGAAACAATGAATCTGTCAATAACTGTAAACAAATCAAAATTAGTAGACATCAATTAGTACCTGCTGTGGTTTGATTTATACAGAATATGAACAAATGACTTCCAAAGGAGTCAGTTCAGTATGGGTCATATTTGACCCCGATTATTGAGTTTTATGTTTTAAGATAAAAAATATTTCAAAGTGATAAAAAGACATGTCAGAAAGTAGAATATAACTTTTTTTGTCAAAGTTATAGTTTTAAAGAGTTGGTTTTTACATCCCAAATAGGTCAAAATGGAGATTTTACGGAAATATGACAAAATCTTCAAAATTTCAACCAAATTAAGGCCTAGGAAACATAGAGCGCAGGCATCAACAAACTAAATATTCAGTCAGATATGTAAAATGTTTTAACATTTTGTTGAAAGAGCTTCTTTGTTGAAGCAAGCGCTCTATGTTTCCTGTCCATAAAATCAATTGAAATTTACCCGTTTTCATTGAGTTTTTGTTGAAAATAAAAATGAGTGCTATTTGTGACCTCATGAATAAAACTCAAATACATAAATTTTCAACAAAAAGACATATTTTTCCCAACTAGTCATTGTATTAGCAATGATTCATTGTGATATTGGTCAATGAATCCCAATATGAAATTGTAGCTAGAAATAGGGGTCATTTTAGGATGTTATCAAACCTACTCCTTTTGACAACTTAAACAATGTACCAAGAAAAGAATTTGTGTGAATTTAGAATTACTGCCTGTACCATACCTTCATCTCCTGCTGTATCAGGAGGCTGTGTTTTCATTGTGAAAATCCGTCTTATTTTACAATTAGCTGAGACTGTAATAGACTCGATAGCTTTGTATGTTTGTCCTCTCCAGATCTCTCCTACCATTGATACCATATCAATACACAAGTTCAGCCACTACAATTAATAAATTGATGCTAGATTTAAACGTTATGCCTTTTTCTGCTAAGCAAAAATTAAAGGGAAAAATCCCATAATACAGTTTATTAGAGCTGTGTGTAATTTGCAGGAGGACTCTATAAACTTAACCTATGAATTTTAATTTTAAAGGACATTTGGTCTGGTAAACACTAGCTTTACCAGACCGAATTAAATTTTACCAGACCAATTTTTTTTTACATCTAATTATATATTATCTGACAAAATACAAAAAAACTTATGGTTGTTAACTTGTGCCCTACTCCTCTCCAAAAACGCACAAAAACGAAATCATGTGACAAGAGTGTAAAAGTGATGAAAGTTGAGCACAATTGCCTGAATGCATTTCAGTGATAAAGAAAAGTAATGTCATATTTTAATGGATTTGACCTGAAAATTATTTGTGAACTAAAATTATTTAGAGTTTCTGTATAAAATATTTCCTGTTTCTTCCCTCTTTTTCATATATCTTGGTTTTCAATTCTAGTGTTTATATTTCACAGCTGTATTTTGTGACCTGCTTGGATTTTTAAAAATTTATTTATTGTGTTTGATCGGCAAACCCAGAATATTTGCCTTATCCGTTCCCGGAATCTGATCCGGTATTGTCTACATTTCCGGTTGATGGCAGCCATTGTTGTTTTCGTCAGTCAGATATGTTTTTACTCGGATTTTCACATTACTTGTTGGCGATTTTCGGCATAAAGCTAGCGGTAAAACAAAATAAACATCGCTGTCATGAATAATAAAGATGAAAATGAAGTTTGAGATCGTTTGGGAATTTTGCTAGAATGCTAGAAAAACCATGAAAAATAAACAACACCGAACATTCGGACCGGAATTCAACAAAATTTTACCAGACCGATCCATTATTCACCGGATTTGTCCGACGGTCCGACGCATTTCGTGTAGTCTGGGTGCTACATGTGCATCATAATCTGCCTACCATTCTGGAGCACCTGAGATCACTTAGTTTTTGGTGTGGCTCGTGTTGCTCTGGGCTCTTGATCATAAAACTTTACTCAGTACTCTGAGTACAAAATTTTTGCTAGAAACATCAAATCCAGTATTTTGATTGGTTGATTTCTGAGTCTGAGTAGAAAAATCGTGCTCGAAATTTTTATGACCGCAAGGCCAGGCTTTAGTTTTTTATTTAGTATTTTGTAAATTGTAGTTTTTTTTTTAGTTGTTTTTCATTTTTTGCAATGATTTAGTGGGCATCTCCTTGACTTGTGAGATTAAATTCTCCCTTCGGTATCTTTTGCCTCTTTTTTAATAGTTAATGTGTTTATCCTTAAAATTATTTTACCTTATGTTTTTTCATGATAGTAAGAGGAACTCTGGCATGTAATGAGGCTGCTACTTGGGTTTCTTTCTGTGTTGTAGATAGGAAAAGTCTTCTTTTGTTGTTACCTAAATCTGTTACACTGCAAGAATATACAAACTTCTGTCACTTCATATTACATGTATATAGTTAGTTTGAAGTCACGGAAAAGACAAAGCAGCCACCAAAAGGGACATTGATAAATATAAATTTGATTCTTTTGGAATTTATAAACAAATTTTAGTGGATGGATAAATCCTAAGCAGCTCAACTTATCCTGTGTATTTTTTTCTTGAAAAAGGACTTGAAAATGTATGACACATGTACATTCTTTCATTTCTTGTTTGCAGTACTGTATGATATGCAACTGGCCACTGCAATTTGAAATCAGGAGTAAAAAAATAGTATAATATACACCATTTTAGGCAATAATTTTCTGTTAAAACTTATTTTAAAAACAGCAATGAAAACTTACCCAAGTTCTATCAAGAAGTCTTGCCCTTTACCAACAAACAACTGTAATATCAGGTACCTCTGTATCAGGGTTACTGTTCATAGAAAAGATGATTTTGTTCAATAGGGAGGATAATGTAATAATCAAAGTGCTTGTAAGCACTGAAGGGTAAAGATTACTTCCATTTTGCAATTTTGTGAATTTAAAATAAAACATTGAATTGAATCTAGATAGGCAAATTATAAATTCAAGTTGGAGTTATCTTCCTTTGTTCATGATTGTACATTTGTAGTAGAACCTACTTTTATCACAGATTCATACACCATGCATTACTTGTGTGAATTTTAATTAAGTAAATTCATCTTGATAAGTACTGTAATTAAAATACACATCATATTGTAACTTGAATATCGAAGTATAACATATCATTAATAAATTGCTTGACATTGACATTGACATTGCTTGACATTGACTGGATATGATCTAAAGAATGATCACGTCACTGCACTATTTTGTTTGAACTATGAAAGGTAGTGACAAACATTGGAAGATTTAGATATCAAGTCATTACCATTTTAATTGCATTTCATGCAATCTTTACCCAAAATTCAACTTGACTTAGCAATATTTGTTACATGAAGCTTAAGGATAATAACAACCTGAATCCAGTTTTTTCCCTTGCTTATGTATTATCAATGGTTCAAAATGACAAAATGGCTGCCACTTATTGATTAGAATCTGTTACCTCTCATGAGAACTTAAGCACATCCTTTGTTTTTATTTGGAGGGGAAGTACCGGTAGCTGATTTTGTTCAGTTTTAAATTTTCTGCATATTTTTTTTGTTTATCAGTCACATCACTTTTTTTCTTTTGGAAATGTTCTTTGTCCTTTGATTCAAAGTGTCTTTCCTTTCTGTATTGATATATGTTATGCAAAAAAAAAATGTTAAATAGTGGCATTATATTTCACTCTGTAATTTACTGCATGACAGTGGCAATCTATGTGGAGCAAATACCAAGATATCAAAGTTTTATACATCGAGTAAGATGGTGGAAATACACAATCGGAGCAATCTAGGAGGAAATACTCACTTTGTGGAATCACCATGCTTGTTGATCACACACTGAGAACTGTATCTTACAAACTTACGGGATTGTTTTGGATCCTTTGGTATCTGTATTTTTGTAGTAGCCGGCGTTCCCTCAATATAAAATACATAGCTCTTCACTTCTTTTTCATATTCCTAAACAATACAGAAGTTTTACATTGCATAATTAATGATATAAGATATTTGTTCATTTTTTTTAACCAGGGAAACTCCTCAATTATGTTAATGTAATTTACTAGCTATAGCTACTGAAAACCTTTTATTCTGGCTAGGTATGTTTTTTTCATTTTTTATCATAAATTTGTTGAAAAATCCCCAAAATGACAATTTCCAAAATCAGCAAACTACTATACTAGTACTTACAGGTACATGTAGTATTCCATTAACTTGATAAATCATAAATACCCAAATATGGATTTTACATGTTCAAGACTTTTGATAAAGAGAGAACTCATATCACTGCACTTTCAAAAGTCATAGATGCAATTAAACACTCAAAATGATGATGATGGATGGCTGCTTAACGTCCAGTGGCAAATTAATATGCATATTCAGGATGAGAACATGTTAATGTGATATGACTTTTTAACCTGTTTTGTACTAGACCAACATGCTGAGCTGGATTTTTAACGTGCTAGTTTACAAGGTAACAGTCCGCAGGTTGACATGTCACCTTACTCGGACACATTATTCTGACTCCGAGTTGACCGGTCTTTGCTCATATCCCTTACTGCTGGGTGCTTAGTGGAGAAGCAGCAAATACCAATTTTAAAGTCTTTGGTTTGACCCGGCCGGAGTTTCAAACCCATGACCTCCCGCACTAGAGGTGAACATGCTACCACGAGACCACTGAGGCGGTCACTCAATATGAAACCCTTATCTTCTTATCAAAGATTAAACTTAGTTCGATTCAACTTGATTGGTTGAAATTGCTCAGAATTTTTTAAGGATAAGACTTAGAAAAAGTCAATGGATAGCCAGGAATTTTTTGCCAATGATAGCAGGCACAAAATTACAAGACTGGCTTAACACTAGCTCTTTATTACAGGTGAGTCAAACAATCATAAAATTAATTACAGCTAGATTTGTTGCTATTTTAATGCAGAAAAACATGCATGCTCATTTCATATTTTCATACCATTGATTTAATCAAGGCTGTGTTTACTTTCTAACAATAATTTTTTTTGGCAATGATTTTTTCCTTCTTGAAGACACACTATAAACAAATAAAGGCGACAGTAGTTTATCTATGTTCAAATCTTGTAACTCGATTTAAATGATACAAATCAAGGCAACAAACAGTAACTGCATTTTTTCTTCAGAAAACCTGATTAAAAACCAAGGGAATAGCATAAACTCTAACATATATATACCTTTTTAAATCCATTACTTGGATATTTCCAGTTTGCAAGTGAATCTTTGCCTTGTGGTGTTAAAACTTCAAAGTACGGTCCACCCTTAAAATGAAATAAAATCATCAAGAACATTTTCGGCATGTAAATATTCAAAACAAAACAAAATTTAACAACTAGTTTATAGAATATCATATATATATCTTTTATCCGGTTCAAGAATAAATACTTAAGAGTTTACAGTAATCAAATTCACTCAGGGATATACATATTTAAAATCTATTTATGTTTTTATATAAAACATCAAAATTTAAGAATTTTTTAACGACAGTAGAAAATTATACCTTGAAAAATTCTATTTGGCTCGTGTTAATACACTAAAGTATAGAAAATTGATGAGCAAATTAAACAAAAAGTCAGAGCTAAAAAGATTATGCAAGTTCATAAAGTGTGTTAATAAACATGTGGGTCCTCCTGGCTAAAACGTATATTATTTTGAAACCACTGTATTGTATATAAATGTTTTGTAAATAGATGCATATTCATGTACATATTTTGCACTCTCTCTGTACCTATGTATCTGCAATGGTTATGAGAATAAAGATATACTCAGAAACTGCCAGTTTTAATGTAATCCAATAACTGATTTTGATAAGTTCAAGATTAACATTTCATGAAGCAAGCACAGTGTTTATGAAATAAATTTCCTTTGGCATGAAGATGCAAATATTCATTATTGGCACAAAATTGGTTTCATGGAATACACAACATCATTCTGTTCAAATAATAAATAAATTTGGCTCTATTGGGCAGTATCATAACTTTGGCAGGAGAGTTGTTGATAAAGTTACCATATCTTATCCAGTTATCCTTTATATCCAAAAATACTAAAATATGCCTGGCAATATCAGTTGAATTTTATGAAGAGACTTCAATGACCCATTAGGCATGTTGTTTCTGAGTTTCTTTGTTTCTAGACTCTATATGGCTTCAGTATATTCAACCAACAGCTGTGGCTTCTTTGTGCCTAGGTAAGCTTTCTGTAATAGCCAGCATAATTTGTCCTTGCTATCTAAATTATGTGCCAGCTTTTCTTGCCTTGATCAAGTTAGTGGTCATACTATTGGTAGATGAATTGAGCAGGTTATTTATTGTGTGTGTGTTTTACTTTATTAAAGTACTCATACTAAAGTTTAACCACATGTGGTCTAGATAGACAGAAGCATTGATTTGGGTCTACACCACTGTAGTACTTTCAGAAGGACCTTCCGCAACATTCTGGCTATATACATCATATAAACTCATTCGAATTGGGATTTTTGTATCTCTTCTGGATTTTTCATAAAACTTTATACATGTTATACATTTGTATATACATGTATAGGAACATACAATTTCATGCAAATTTGAATATCTGATTACTCAAAAGTATGAATCAATGCTAAATAATTATAAAACAAACATGCACCAATTACAAAATGTACATTCACCAGCTCATCAGGTAGCACCTGGCTCATATTATAATATTATGGATGACTGGTCCTAACTTTTACCCATGCAAAACTTTTCGATACACTGCCAGTTCAGGCAGAGTCATTTTGGCCATACTTCCAGTTTGGGCATACTTTGTAAACTCCTAACTTTCGGCCATGGTTTTTAATAATTTATTGAAATGAATGCAGGAAAATACAATTACTTTATAGCTAAAGTACAAATTATGTTTTTATTAAGTAATTGTTGAGAAAATGCCTAACAAGATAACAATAAAACAGCTGGACCCAAGCTGAGTCCAAGCAGATACAAACTTAGTTGATGAATATATTCTTTTAACAATACAAGCTGCTTGAGTAGCCTTTGAAGTACCAACCTTGCAGCATGAATGGAACTATTTTTTGTAACTAAAAGTTAGTAATAAACACTAATTTCTGCTGTTTGGTATTTGTTACTTGTTATAAATTCACCAACTGTTCGCCCAAAATCATGTTCGCCCCCTTTCACGTTCGTGCCCCACACGTTCGCACACTGGGTGCGTTTGCACCCTTTTTATTGGTTTTGTGTTGAATAAAGTTTTAATTGTGTTTAAGTTAGTATATTGCTATAAATAAGTTTTTCTTATTGTTTCAAAATAAAGTGACATACTAATAAACTGCTTCGCTAAGCGCAGCTGGATACGCCCACAGAGGTCCAACCCTGAACAGTTGGTGCAAAAATGGACACAATATTCAAGCTTGATACAGGTCTGAATATGGATTGTAATTAAATATTTGACATATTAAAGGTTTCTGAATAAATGTAGTCAAAGAACTTGAAATTGGTTATATGAATTGAATTTATATTCAATTAAAGATTTCTTGCTGTTGTGCAAATCACTGTGCTGTTGCGCAATACTAAGTAAATCTGTTGTCAGACTATGAACAAATAAAGTTCAATTTCTTCTCAATGTCATATTTGAAATTTATGAAAATCAATAGGGAGATTACATCAATAGCTATAAATAATTCACCAAAGTTTCGTGAGAACTGATGAAAGCATTTTTGAGTTATTGTCGAAAAACTGGAAAATCCCCCCTTTTTTAATGAATAAAACCCTATAACTCAGAAATGTAAAATCTAAAATTTATAAAATTCTAAAGGGAGCTTACATCAAAAGATATAAACAATTCACCAAAGTTTCATGAGAACTGCTGAAAGCAGTTTTTAGTTATTGTCTGAAAACTGGAATATCCCCCTTTTTTTATGAATAAAACCCTGTAACTTGGAAACGTAAAATCTAAAATTCATAAAAATTGAAAGGGAGCTCATGTCAATAGATATAAACAATTCACCAAAATTTCTTGCAAGTTGGTGAAAGCATTCTTGAGTTATTGTCATTAAACTGGAATATCCTCCCTTTTTTAATGAATAAAACCCCAAAACACGGAAACGGTAAATCTGAAATTTATCAAAAACGAATGGGAGCTCACGTCAAAAGATATAAACAATTCAATCAAGTTTCATGCATATTGGTTAAAGTGTTTTTGAGTTAATGTCCGACATGTTGATGACGGACGGTCAACGGTATACCATTATACGTCCCGTAAACAGGCGTATAAAAATGTAAACAGGAAAAATTTTCATGAAGATTAAGGCAAAGTTCATTCATCTAAGACTTGTAAAATAAAGATGGAAGATACCAAATCTTCATTGAGTTACTCATAATACCAAGCTAACTACATGCAGTATTGATTTCAAAGCTAGTTATAACAACAATCATGATTTTCAAACACAGAACGATAATACCAAATTTGGCTTTGTAAATACCAATTAACCCAATCAAACATACAGTAATTAACATTTAATAATAATCATCAAATCACAAAAAAAAAAATTTCATTTAAAAATTCTCTAATTTTGATTTAAGAAAATTTTAAAATTTTGATAAATAGTTAATACATCTAATAATTCAACTATAGTATTTGAATAAAAAAAGAGGGTGCGAACGAACCCAGGGGGTGAACGTGTGGTGTGCAAAGTTGCAAACATGTATTGGGAGCGAACGGACCCAATACCCCTTCGATGGCTTCATGCCCTTAGTTTCTTGTCAGGATATAATGCAAGTTTACAGGTTAATATATAACAAGAAAACATGTGCTGCTGGGGAAACATCACATGGCCAAACACTTTCGCCTTTTCTATGGTCGATCTAGTACTGTGCCAGACTGTGGCCAAATTGTGTGGTAAACTATAAACGTCTCAAAAGCACTTTTAAGAGCATTTTAAAAGTTATATGATGTACATCTGCTGGTGAAACTAACACAATTTTGCAATATTTTAGACAAAGATCTATTGTGAAATACATAAAAAAAATAGAGTGTGCCTACCTGGTATTCGTTTTTGTACATTTTGCCTGTTAAAAGTGTTATATTTCTGCTGCAGTTTTTTGTCTTCTTTGAGTCTGCATAATTCACTTAATCTGCCCTTTCGAATTTAAGTTTATAATTGAAATATTTATACGTGCTATATCAACTTGAAAATGCTAACGTTGGCAAAATTTGGCAAATTAAATTTAAAATGTTTTCAAGTAATTCGGGCACTTTGCATATTTCTTGTCCTCCATTTTGGTTGTCAATGATTTTTGACGAATCAAATTGCGTGTTACAAAAGCAAATGTACGGCCGCCAAAATAAAAGTTGATCTAAAATGCAGAACTACTATTTCTTAGAACGAATACTCAAAATATATTGCTACAACACTTACGGATTTTAAATATTATTATTATTCTGCAACTGATATCAAATATTGAAAATTAGAAGAAAATAACCAGAGCATTTTAATTATTCAAAAATTTATATTTGATATTATTATTAAAATTCGTTTTTTTTATTTTTATACAGAATATTCTGATTTTCGAGACACACGTGAAGAAAATTTCACAACATTTAAAATATCTGATTTAATCCAGTGTCTAAGCATAAATAACAAAGATGTCAGGAAGAGAAGGTTCGTATTTAGTAAAACTTTTATATCACAGTATAATCAATATGTTAAAAATAACATCATTTTGGAGAAATTTCACACAAGAAAATAATATTCTGCGTAACCCGTAACTTAGGCGTAACGACATTTTAAATAAGATTAATATTACTCTTTATGTATGAAAAATATGGCTCATTGACAGCAAAACAAAAAGCTCTACCGACTTGAATGGTAATGGTATTGATCTGTTGATTGCAGGTTCCCATGATGAGGTGTGAATATTGCAAGTTATTGATCATTATGTTTCGGCCATGTAGTATGTACCACTTCGGCCATGTAATAACAGATGTTTCGGCCACATACATTTATTTAATATTAATAGAGATTTTGTTATATATACTTTCACTGATATACCTTTTATAACCCATTTTCGATGTTCAATTCAGAATTAGTTCAACAAGTTCTAAATGCATAAAAAAATTAGTAAAAAGCCTAAAAGTCAACAATGAAAATGAAAAGATTTAGGCACTATATATAGCCTGGACCTAGTTTTACAAACAAAAAAACTTTACAGTTTAACAAATTTTTAATATAATTCTGGTCTTGTCAAATGAAAAATGCCATGTGACAGGATATGTTTCTGGATTGTTACAGCTCTTCTATAAAAGCATGCAAAGCAAACCTTTGATCAACTTGCTTGCTATGTTTGTAAACAAAAGGTAGGTAGTATGTTTCAGTCTGTTTACTATATACTGGAATTTGATTGGACAATAAACATTAACTTCATTGCATGTCAATTTTTATTGTCTTATCAAATTCCAGTATATACAAAACAGACTGAAACTCCGCCTACCTATTGTTTGCATTAACTTTGCAAACATCCAAGCAAACATAGGAAGCAAGTTGATCAAAGGTTTGCTTTGCATGCTTTTATAGAAGAGCTGTAAAACAAATGCAGAGACATGGTTTTCTGTAAGCCGCATACTGGCTTTATAGATTTTGGGGTATATATTTTGATCTATTTTTAATCAACTCTTTAATCTACTGATAAAAATAAGAAAATTTTAATCTTTATCTGGCTCTGCCGACTGTAATATTTTCTAAGTCTAATCATATCCAAAGAAATATTTACTTACCTTTTATTTTTTATTCAAAACATTGATAGGTACGCCCATTAAGAAAAAAGGAAAAATGGACCGAAACAACCAAGGCCGAAGTGGTTTATGGCCGAACAGGTTTATGGCCCGAACTTCTTGAAAGCTATGGGTATTATACCCAAAATTGGGTATCAATTTACAGTGATAAAAAAACAAATTTTGTATTTCATCATAATAGCTGTCATGGTGCAAATATTCATATAAATGGAAACATTTTTCCCTTTAAGACCATAGTTCAAATGAGACATGAAGACAAAGATAATGGCCTCCAAAATTTCTTCTTTTTGAAGGCTGTTAACAGTTAACTTAAATTATCCTGATGATATTTCAGTCATGGTGTCTTTAGGCAAAATGTTGTCCTTTACCCGAATTTTTGCGCCATGACAGAAAATATCTATAAATCCAAAGTTTATATTTTTATCACTGAAAATTGATACCGGTTTTGGGATATAATACCCATAAATGAGGATAGTACCCTTTTATGAGGATCCTCCCCAACCTGTTAAAAGTGGTTGTATTTATAAAGATGTCAACAATGGCCCCCCCTTTTTTTTCAAAATCCTGGATCTGCATCTCAAATAACAGGATACAAATGAAAAGTGAAAATTAATTTTCGCAAGGCCGAAAAAAGCTGCGGAAAAAAATAAGCACTGATGGCAATATATTAAAACTAATTCTAATATGAATTGCTTCTTTCGCTTTGTAAACAACACCGTGATAAAATTCTCGATATATCTATACTTAGCGCAGACTCAGAGATGTGCATATTGGTGGCTGTTACTATTTACCTCCCAAGTAAATCCACATGTATCGTAACCTATATGCAAACACTATGTCGATTTCGTTGTGTCCAAATTGAAATTGAAAAAGAAACTACAGAACCGTTATTCCTATTATATTGCATAACAAAAATAATTAATGCCCAAGAGCTTAACAAATGTATAAAATCAAAATAAAATAAAATTCCGCCAAATTTCATGAATGATCTTGGCGCATTAACGTCATGTCATAACATGACGTCATACGAATGAAAACTCTAAAGCTGAATGTTTTCCGTTACGTATACTGCCTTAGTTCGGATAATATTGCATTAAAATGGAGTTTTGAGGTAGGTGTTGTTTCATTTTCTATTCCATTACATTATTCGCACATTTGTGGATTTCAGCAAGTCAACATGGCGGCTCACTCCTTAGTTACGACATGTCAACTCTTAGATTTGACATTAAATAGTAGCCAACGAAAAATAAATGTTTGGGTTAAGAATTATGAGAATTGAACACATTTTTTCTACTGCTTATTTGAGGAATAATTCATGTAAGACTTAGATTTATATGAAATTTGTAGCTTTTATCTTACAGGGGGTAAAATAGAACAGCCATACACAAGGCAATCTTACGTTCGCTTCAGTTTTTATACGACCGCAAAAAAATTTTGTGGTCGTATATTGGTATGACGTTGGCGTCGTCGTCGTCGTCCGAATACACATTGGTTTTCGCACCACTGGCAGACCTATTTGGAAAATCACCGCGATTTTTGTAAAAACTCCGGTGTTTTTTGGCTAATCTCCGCGAAACTTAAAATTTAGATAAAAATTAGAGGTTCATCGTAAATTTGCTGTATTACAGGATATTTTGCATGTTATCCGGAGATTTTCCGTGTCGGCGGGAATTAGCCGTTTGTCCGATAAAACTGGTGTGTATTGATTCATTGATAGAATCACTGATGCGTGAGCGACGGTTATTAATAGGTCGTTGTATAATCCGTTATGCGTGAGCGACGGTTATTAATAGATCCTTGAAGCGTGGTACAAATTATGATATATAGATGTTTACAGAATTAAAAACAAAGTAACTATAATCATTTGAGATATAAGGAATTTTAAAAAATATATCATATAATGTTTCTGTAAATTTAGAGAGAAACAGATTATATATATCTGGGGATTAGATGGTTACTTTTTGTCGAGCCTTCGACTTTAGTCGAAAAAGCGAGACATAGCGATCCTACATTCCGTCGGCGTCGTCGTCGTCGTCGTTGTCGTCGGCGGCGTCCACAAATATTCACTCTGTGGTTAAAGTTTTTGAAATTTTAATAACTTTCTTGAACTATCCTGGATTTCTACCAAACTTGGACAGAAGCTTGTTTATGATCATAAGATAGTATCCAAAAGTAAATTTTGTAAAAATAAAATTCCATTTTTTCCGTATTTTACTTATAAATGGACTTAGTTTTTCTGCCGGTAAATATTACATTCACTCTGTGGTTAAAGTTTTTAAAATTTTAATAACTTTCTTAAACTATCCTGGGTTTGTACTAAACTTGGACAGAAGCTTGTTTATGATCATAAGATAGTATCTAGAAGTAAATTTTGTAAAAAAATAAATCCATTTTTTCCTTATTTTACTTTTAAATGGACTTAGATTTTCTGCCAGGAAACAACACATTCACTCTGTGGTTAAAGTTTTTAAAATTTTAATAACTTTCTTATACTATTTTGGATTTGTACCAAACTTGGACAGAAGCTTGTTTATGATCAAAAGCTAGTATCTAGAAGGAAATTTTGTAAAAAAAATAAATAAATTTTTTCCGTATTTTACTTTTAAATGGACTTAGATTTTCTGCCAGGAAACAACATATTCACTCTGTGGTTAAAGTTTTTAAAATTTTAATAACTTTCTTATACTATTTTGGATTTGTACCAAACTTGGACAGAAGCTTGTTTATGATCAAATGCTAGTATCTAGAAGGAAATTTTGTTTTCTTCCAGTTAACATTACATTCAGTCTGCAGTTAAAGTTTTAAACAGTTATTTTAAATCATAAACTATCCTGGAATTTTACCAAACTTGGACAGAAGCTTCTTACAATCAAAAGATAGTATCAAGAGGAATATTTTTATTGATTTACTTCCTCATTTTTGTTGAGTCTGCGATTAACAGAAAAAGTAGGCGAGACACTGGGTTCCGCGGAACCCTTACGAATTTTTTTAATTATATGTCAGAGGCCGCAGATCATTTAATTGCTTCTAGAACCGTTTATTGAAACAAAAATTAAATGAACGGCCAGGGGAAAGTCTTTAGTAACCTTAGTTGGTATCAGGGGTCAACTGGGTTGAGTTCAATATCGTAGCAGCTACGTAGCGGCTATGTAGTTGCTATTAATATCTATGTAGCAGCTTATCTATAGCTACACGTTCAATAGTAAAAATCTACATAGCACTACGTAGCCGCTACGATATTGAACGCAACCCTGGTAATACATAGAGTCAGACCGTCGTTGCATAATATGTATATGTATTTACACACAATGCAGTGCATTCAAACTCGATTTCGCAAACTCGTGGGTTGTCTTTTTAGACAAAAAAGTTCAATTTAAAAGATATGAAAGTTACGTACATGTATACAAGCATAGATATAATAGCCATTATATCTATGATACAAGGAATTGTATATTTAACGTCAATGCCTGTCTTGTAAACTAATCTGTTACACTTTGAAATGTAAATAAGTTCTTTTTAAAAGATTGGACGGTTATTTCACATGAATAAAAGTTCTTCTGATCATTTTTGTTTTACAATGATTTTTGAAAGTGCGATCTTAAAACTAAGTTTGTCCGGACTTGCATGGAATATTTGCCACTGGAAGTTAAGCAACCAACAATCAATCATCTTAAAATAAAATAAATATGCCTGAGCGATAATATTCTTAAATTTTTTAATGTGATCATTTATTAGAAATCACTTTCAGGTCTAATGGTAAAGTGAATATACATTCCGGGATGAGATTAATTTACTATAATTGCCAAAGAAAAAGAAATGATATTACGTTTCTTTTAATTAAATTTTAGACTGCAACAAATGTAGATCGAA